ATGTACCAACTCTTTTATATCCAAGCGATGATACTTAGTACTACCTTATTTTCACATGCTGGCTTAGGGCTTTAAAGCAGACTTTACCATTTTAAGGAGTCCTTTGACCTCGAGGTAAACCTGCTAGAGCCTTTCATACCCACATTTAAGCTGACCTAGGCTTTGGTAACTTACGCCTAGTCCGAGAACAAGTATTTGCAAGCTGAAGCCGTTACCGTTACCTACTTCTGTCCTTATAGAGTTCACTCTACCCCAGCCCCTTACTTATCCAATCAGGAACCCTTCCACTATTTCACCAAACTTCTAATCCAGATAGCTCAGTTTGGTCCACAAGTTACGTTACCCACTTTTCTACTGGCTTAACCCAGATACCGGCCTGTGTCCTTTTCCTCCGGTCAATTTCGGCGACCTGGTTGGTATAGTGCTCGCCAAACACCCGTTCCTCGTCCAGATCTACAGCTTATTAGTTTTTTTCTTAGACTTTCCAGAACCGTCGAAAGTAGTGCTATCTCTCTACTCGGGATTTGCCAAGTGGATTCCTATTCAGGACAAAGTCCAACAGATTCACACAGGTCCCGGGGACTTATCATGGGTTTACACCACCTTTTATCAGTTTGTATCCCTTCGTGTAACTCCTCTATTACACGAATGCCCTAAGATCTTCCAAGTCTGTACTACTACCCTGATTAGGGCTTGCGAGATAAGCCATCCATTAGGCAATCATTACCCCTTGCATCTATTTGGTCTGACCGTCGTTACAGGATCTCCATTCCAACACCCGAAATAGTCATCAATGCACAGAAGAATTCGATTTTTCGTCATTGGTGGGAATTGAACTCTGGATGTGCCACTTGGGAGGGTGACAACTTGACTACTTCACTAAGTCACCACGCCCCTATATTGTTTTATATAATAATTAATAAATGATATTAAATATAGAAAAATAATTCTCAATTTGGTTTTTTTTTTGAAAGACTTTGTTTGATTCACTTATTTTAAATATTAATAAACCAGATTCAATTCTAAACTTGCTATATAAAAATTAAAAAAAATACTTTTTTATATTTATTATTATTATTTTTTTTAAATTTTTCAGATAAATTAAAAATTCCACCATTAATACTTTCTAAAGTTCCTACTAAAAAGTTTCCTATAAATATTAAATTGTGAAAAGAAATCAAAAATCTACTAATAGAATTATTTTCTTGTTTTTGTTTACACTTATTCTTTCATTTTCTTGCTAAATTATGTAGATCAAGCATTCTAACAAAAAAAATCAATAAATTAGCATTATTTTTAATTAGCACATTCTAATCCCTATCCTATTTTCTATCCCACCAGGTCGGCATAGAGGCTTGATGTCAAACAAAGTATAGAGATTGTTTACATTCTGGTGCGGCCAGTATAAAATCAGTGTAAAGGCTTTGCATTAGACAAAGTATAAAGGTTATCTGCACCCTTATACAGGCTTCGTAGCTCAGCATAGAGGTTTGAAGGTAGAGATCCCTACTACGCCAAAGTTTCACTAATTTAAGTCAACAAGAAAGATCTTATACGTGCCTTCTTATATTAATTATGCAAGAATTCTACTTGTTTACATATTTCATATTATTTTCTGAAGCAATTTAATCTGCATTCATTACGAAAGTTCGTGATATTCCAGTCACAAGGTTCATGATTAAAATAGTTATGTACCGACATGGGCTTAAGATATTTCTTCTTAAGTTAAAAAGACAAAAATCAGGTTTTTCAAGTTTATCACAATTTTATTTGCTATTTTTTCGAAAAAAAAACCCTGCATAAGCCTGTTTTTGAATTACGCGTAAAATGAAAACCAAGAAGACCGTGTTATAATTAGGGTTAGAATTAGAACAGCATTAGTAGAAACATCATTTTAATTCAGGTGGTTAATTAAAATTTAGATGTTACGTTACACCTGAATTACAGGGGTAAACAATTTTTTGTGGGAGGTAGTGTTACAAATCGGAAAATTTTTTTCTGTTGCATTAATCGACGAGTTGCAACTAATCGATTAATCGATGAGTTGCAACTAATCAATTAATCGATTAGTTGCAACTAATTCACTAAGTAAATAATTTTTCAATCGATTCTTTGCAACAATCGGTTAATTCTTTAGTCGATTAGTTGCAACTAATCGATTAATCGATAGTTGGTATCAAAAGTTCAATCGATTTAACCAACTAATCGATTTTTCAACTTTCGATTTGTAACAATATTCTAAATTCCGTTCCTACTTACAACATATATAAGCATGCATGCTTTTGTTACCAATGAAGAAATGCGGCGTTAAATCAGGAAAATGTCAAAACTATGTTTTGGATTCTCTTATTAGTATAAAATATCAAAAACGTAACTTTGTTATCAGAATTTTAACATAGAAGTATGAATTCTCCCGACGCAAATCTATTTAAAGCACATGATAAAGTAATATCTCAGATTTGGCACATGATAGATTTGATCGATAAAAAAAAAAAAAAAAAATTCTCGAATATATATATATAGATGCCGTGTGTCATAGCGTACTCGAATTCAAAATCCAAAAACAAATTTAATATATATAAAAAGGAACATCAGTACGTAACGATAGTTTCGTAACTTTAGAAAAGAGGATAGGAAAAATGAAAGAAATAGAAGTTGATAATAGTACTTGTTATAATTTGACATATTTTAAAGGTAAATAATAAAAATTTTCAAATATTATATGCTGTTTCGTCGATAAGGTAAAAATGAACTAACATACTAATAATCAAAAAAATTTTTTTAAGACATTATGAAAGAATATAGAAAGATAGATGATAACATTATTTTAAGGATGAATACGACAGATACACACTCAGAACAAGCGTGCGCAGAATTCTTTAACCAGTTGACTAAGGCCTACTCAAAACGAGGACAAATTATAAATCAGTGTTTAAAGGTTAGCAAACCAGATAAGGTAACCAGTTTTTTACAATGTTTCTCACATGATTTTACAGATTATAGATCAGGAATCAGAAAAAAAGCAAAAAATGCTTGCAGATGATCCGTATGATAACGATTTAAAGAATCAAATGTTTGTAGAAGAATCCAAGGTAATTTTTATCGTTTATAGTAAGTAATTTATTATAAAAATATTAATATAAACACAATCTGATGGTACTTAAACAGCGACGAATGATTAGTAATGAAATTACCGTAGAAGAGATAGTAAGAGATAGAAGTTTAACAGTATTTAAGAATAAGTGTCGAAAGTTTCATATTCCCAAAGAAATTTCCGAAATTATTAATAGGCAATGATGTCACAGGAAGATCATTCTTCATGCGGATGCACCTACAAAAACAAACAGACAAGGGTCCTCCTATCGCTATCACTTATATCATTATCATTTATATCATTTTAATACATTGAAGCTAGTTAACAATAGGGATTATAGTTCACAGATTACGTACCATTTAAAAAAAAAATCAGATATAAAAATCGGCCAAAATTCACATTACATTGGAAACGTCTTCTTTCACTTGAAATTATAAAAAATACGATGTATGCTTTATCTCAACATGTAAGTTTCGTAAAAGGACAAACAGTGGGAGCTGTTAGTAACTCAAAACAAGACGTACAAACCCTTATTGAAATACCGATAACAGCGACAATAGAGGAAGTTTTTGATGTATTATTAGCGGAAAATATTTTAAGCATACCTGTTTACCGACTCTGGAGAGGGCATAAGCGACCTGTAGCAATCGTCAACGTAACAGACCTTGTCGCTTATGTGTGTTCACAGGTATTTTCATTCATTTTATTTATTTATATTTATATATATTTTTTCGAGAAAAAAAAATTTGGATAATTCAAATAATTTAGAAATTCAAAAAACTCGAGATATTCAAATAACTTCCTTTCGAAATTTTATATAGCCCATATTTGACAATGTGAATGGAAATAATAATGATGAAAGAAATGATTATAGGGAGATAAATTTGGATGGAAAATCCTCCTTTTTACAAAAACCAATTGGGGAACTTATCGGTTTAACACCTGAGAGTACCCATCTTACTATATGTCATCACGAAGATTCCCTTGCCGATCTTTTGGATTTATTCACTCGTCGTCAAATTCATCGAGTATTGGTCGCTGATAAAACATCAATTGAAGATACAGATGTTGAACAAACTATTAATGAAGATATATCTCAACCTTGTTTCATATCTCAAACCGATGTTGTTCGATTCTTGTTTCAGAATAATCATCGTTTAGGTAAAATTTTGGATACTATGGCTGCTGATGTTGTCGGTAAAGCTATTAGAGTAAATGAAAGTTTACCCTTTGAAAGACGGAATTTATTGAGACAACCATCGTCGGTTACCATTCACGATCAAGCTTTGACAGCTTTTCGAAAGATACACCAAGATGAAGTTAGTGCTGTAGCCGTTGTTAATGATGATGGAACTCTTGTTAGTGAAGTTTCTGCTGCGGATCTTAGAGGATTGAATAGAGAACGACTTTCTGATCTAAAGAAGCCAGTAATTATGTTTTTGGTGTCTTGTAAAGGTGCTTTAATTAAACCATTTACCTGTCACGGTAAATTCACTTTAAGTCAAGTTATGGCCGGCATCCTTACTAGTAAAACTCATCGTGCTTGGGTTGTTGATGAAGATGATGTACCTATTGGTGTTATTACTCTATCTGATATTCTTGCTATGTTTCTTCCCGAATCCGCGTGAAAACAACTCGATATAAATTTGATTATCTTTTTTTATAGCATTTCTTGTTTGTCATCTTGTATATAGTTTATTTGGTTTATTACGTAAAATATGATTTTAAACACATATATATAATATATATATTATAATTATATATTTATATATATATATATAAAAACACAATATATATACATACATATACGTATATATATCCATATTTTTTTTTTGTAATTATACCGATCTTGTGTTATATTCATCATGAATTCAACTCGTACGATAAGTAATTAGATGAACAAATAATGACATATTTGTTTGCCGTGTTAAGCCCGAAGTTGATTCAAAAAAATCAGTCGATAGTGATAAAAGATAGATTTTCAATCTTATTCGTTATACGTCATTCTTGATGATCTCAGAGAAGGTATATCTGATGCACAAGTATTTAAGTACTGTAACATAAATCGTACTTAAGTGCTTTAACAAAAAATAAAAATGGTTATCGTTAAAGTTCACGCTCGTCAAATTTTTGATTCTCGCGGTAACCCTACCGTCGAAGTTGATCTTGTAACAGATAAAGGTATTAATTAATTAAACTATTAACTATTCATTTTTTTTATCTTGTGTTTCGTTTTATAACTTTATTTTAAACTTTTAAAAATTCAGGCACTTTTAGAGCTGCCGTACCATCTGGTGCTTCCACTGGAATTCATGAAGCTTTAGAACTGCGTGACGGAATAAAACAAGACTACGTTGGCAAAGGTGAAAAAAAATTGATAATTTGCCAATATTCTCTATTCGTTCCTTTGATATAATTTCACTTAATGTATGCGCACTTTTTAGGTGTATCGCGAGCTGTTTCCAATGTAAACGATTGTATTGCACCTGAACTTATAAAAGCCAATTTGGATGTCAAGGATCAAAAAACTGTTGATGATTTTCTCTTGAAGTTAGATAACACACCAAATAAATCAAAACTTGGCGCAAATGCAATTCTTGGTGTATCTCTTGCGGTCGCTAAAGCTGGTGCCGCTGAAAAGGTAAAATTCTTATTAAGACACAACATTTGATTATCATTAATTTATTCACAAGGTAATGTTTACAATAATGTTACCACATAGGGTATTCCACTTTACGCACATATAGCTGATCTCGCTGGAAGTAAAAAACCTTATGTTCTTCCAGTACCCGCTTTCAATGTGATCAACGGTGGCTCTCACGCTGGTAATAAACTCGCTATGCAAGAATTTATGATTTTACCAACCGGTGCCTGCTCTTTTACTGAAGCTATGAAAATTGGATCTGAGGTTTATCATTCTTTGAAATCTGTTATCAAATCAAAGTATGGTCAAGACGCTACTAATGTTGGTGATGAAGGTGGTTTCGCACCAAACATACAAGACAACAGAGAAGGACTTGAATTACTTAAAGAAGCTATTAAAAAAGCTGGTTATACTGATAAAGTAAAGATTGCTATGGATGTAGCAGCTTCAGAATTTTATAAAGATGGATTATATGATTTAGATTTTAAGAATCCGAGCTCTGATAAATCGAAATGGTTATCTGGTGAAAAACTTGCTAATTTGTATAAAGAATTTATTCAAGAATATCCTATCGTTTCTATTGAAGATCCGTTTGATCAAGATGATTGGTCTGCTTGGAGTTATCTTAATTGTTCAACCGATATCCAAATTGTTGGTGACGATTTGACTGTCACTAATCCTAACAGAATTACCACCGCAATAGAAAAAAAAGCATGTAACGCACTTTTGTTAAAGGTCAATCAAATTGGCACCGTTAGCGAATCTATCCAGGCGTAAGTATTAATTTTTCTATTTTAATTTTATTATTTACTATCTTTATATGCTAATATATATATATATATATATATTTTATAATAATAAGTGCCAAATTATCTCAAACTAATGGATGGGGTGTAATGGTTTCTCACCGATCTGGAGAAACCGAAGATACTTTTATTGCTGATCTCGTGGTTGGTTTACGTACCGGACAAATTAAAACTGGTGCTCCTTGCCGCTCTGAGCGATTGGCTAAATATAATCAATTATTACGTATTGAAGAAGAATTAGGTGCTGATGCAGTTTATGCTGGTGAAAACTTTAGACATGCTCATAACTTGTAACTTTAGTGTTAATAGAATTTTAGCTAAATTAATTTTTATTGAATTATGAAGATTTTCTTTTTTTTTTTTTTTTTTTAATTATCTAAAAAAAAAAATTGTCAAAGCAGAATAATTTTAATTTATTTGAAAAAAAGCAGATTTACGTAAATACTGGTCAAATAAACATTTATGTAAATGTGAACTACATATATTGTTTTTTATCGCATTATTTTCTCTGTATAAAATAATTTCAATTTTCAATATTTAAAGGTATTTTGTTTTACACTACTAAAGCGAATTAAAATGATAGTAAAAAATGCTAATATATTTTAAGGTTTACTAGTAAACCTTTATTCAAAGCCACCTAATTGTAGATCATAATGAAATTTGGGGATTCTATTTAACCCTCTACCCACATATATATATCGATATCTGTTTATTATAAATCCTACTCCTAAAGCCGACCCTAACTCTAAAAACAACACACCAAAAATTTTGTACGCATTTTTAGAGGCTTGCTTATTTTGTATTATACAAATTTTCAATCTGCCACAATTCTTGTATAAAAAAAAATTAACCTTAATATACCATAACTTCTGATCAAAATATGTACGTGCGTACATACTGTATGTACATACCCAGCGGTGGCCCTATGACCTTTTATGATCTATAGGTTATAACCTTATGACCTTTTATGATTTATAAAATTTATACAATATGACCACCTTGGTTATGTAAAATTAAGTTACAGGGATTTTTTATCTAAATCTATAATTTATCGATTGGTTTTTACAGCCAAACACCAAATTATAGTTAATGTTACATATCAAATATGTATAAACAGAATAATTTCGTATATTGGAATCTATATCTGTCATCATATTTACTGTAACATTAAGCGTCTGAAGCTTATTTATTATAAGACTGATGAATTATCGTGTAATCAACCAATTATAATCATGGAAACGAACTGACTTCAATACATGAATTCTGCATTTTTCGCCAATAACTATTTTGGCTAAAGCAAGTTGAATACGTACGTACGTACGTATTTTATATCGATGTAAATACTATCAATATTTATATGTATTTAGTATTTGTGTAATATATAAGACTAGCAACAATGAATAATGTTACACGAAATATTTGTCTTTATTTTTCGTTCACAAATTTACAGAGAAAAAAAAAAAGTGACTAATAAAAAAAACAAGATCAAATATTTAAATATTTAGAAATATTTAATCAATAGGCAAAGAGTGATCGATATTTAAATATGATATTTTATACCCATGTGGTGTTAGACATCAAAAAGATTTGAATATAAAACAGATTTAAAAAATATAAAAACATGAAAAATAATTAACAATCTGAGCTTCAGGAAAGCATATAAACCCATTTATAAATACATTTATTCCGATTTCTCCGATTTAGAAACTTCCGATGCGATTTGTTGGCCGGCATCTCTTGCTACATCTTCAAGTTTATTTTTCCATTTATTTAAGTTTTTATCAATATCACCTTGATAAGAAATGAGAGCTGGCCTCAAAAATTTGGAATAAATAAGTTGAGCACCCTTGAAAGGTGGAAGTAAAAGCCTATAATGGATGTGCGAAAAATACGAAAATTTTAATAAGTTGGACTGGTTGTTTCCAATTTTCCCTTAATTATTTATAGTTTAATTAAAATCTCACCAAAGGAAAAAGACAGTTTTGAAGAGGAAATAGAATGGAACCCAATAGAGTATAAAATCGGAAAAGAATTCAATCATATTGATAAATCCATACACGGTCCTAAGTAAAATGATATAATGTTTAATTAAAATGACGAAATATTAGCCTTATAATGTAAATATTGCGTAGAGACTACGTCAACATATGAATTCTGAATATTTTAAATTTTATTTAAACAGCTTAAAAAGCCTTACCAATATGTAAGCCATTGAACGTCGTCTGCGGACTCTTTGGATTCGATAGCCTTAAATGAAGCATAGGCTATATTCAAAATAGTTGTCAAGTTAGAATTTGTCACGCATGTAAGTTCCTGTTACTTTCTTTGCCCATACCTGGATAAAGCCAGCCGATAATATCAGAAAGTAATTCACCCCAAATGTTGAAAAATATCAATGTAAATACAAAGGCTACAACGCCAGCAGCCATATAAGTTTTTGGAACATTAGTTTGTCGTTCCAAGCTGACCAATTGTGGATACTTAGAGAGCTCTTTGTCAGCTTGAGCATTAAAATAGTTCAATCTTTCTACAAGGGCATCCATTTCTATTTTGTTATTAAAAGTGCAAAAGGTCGTGAAAGGCTTATTATTGCAACCACTAACTGGGTTTATAAATATCACCTTATATTCCTTAGAATGATCTTTGTACCGATGGGTTTGATAACGATAATGCAAATGTTAAACGATATGTAACACGAACGTGACATTAAGTCTGTGAACCTCACTTTCCCACCCCGTTCCGCTACTAAAGAGCATAGTGCAGTAGTGCATTGCAGTAAATCCTTGCCTCAATATTTTTATCGATTTTGTCTACGTATGTACATGCATATTCTGAAACCTTTTCTTTGTCCAAGAGAAAAAAGAGGTTGAGATAATATGTATAAAAGAGGCAATAAACCGCAATAATAAAAATTTATGTATCAGTATAGAATTTATATGAACAAACTCAAAATTTTTTTTACGATCAATCACGTGTAAATGTCAATCAGATTATTCACAATACAGATACGATTAACCAATACAGATACGACTAACCAATACAGATACGACTAACAGATACGAATAACAGATACGATTAACAGATACAATTAAACAATACATATTTACGTATTTAATCTGCTTATCGTTACCTCTTTCTTTAGATTCAAATGTTTTCGTTTTTGTCCTTATTAATTCCAATGGCCACGCCACAACATCTTTGGAATATTGGTGCAATTCTAGGTAATCTATCGATTTTTTTTTTTCTTTTTTGTATTCAAATAATGTTTATTAATCGAAGCTTTAAATTTTTGAACAGGCGTTTCGGGAATTGCGTTGGGCGCATATGGTAAGGGTCTTTTTTATTGCAAATAATCATGTAGCCTATTTTGCGAAATATTAATTTGGAATTTTCTAGGTGCTCATAAAATTAAAAATTCTGATAAATTAAAGGTACATATACGTACATAGATCAATCCGTAAAAAATTTTTTAACACTCTTTGTTGCCTTTGCACATAAAGATTTTATTTGATTTTTTTTTCTTATTTTTTAGAATTGGGAAATAGCAACTTATTACCAATTAATTCACTCTATTGCGCTTGTTTCTTTTTCAAATTTGAGAAATCCTGTTACAAACAAACCTCCAGTATTGGCTGGTAGTCTAATCGCTGCGGGTACTATTATATTTTCTGGTAGTATTTATCTTTTAGTTTGGAATAAATTAAAATCAAAATCTAGGTTAGGTTTTATAACTCCTATAGGTGGTATCTTGATGATGGCTGGTTGGGCTTCTTTATTATTTTAAGTCAATTAGCAATCAGATAATACAAATTAATCTTGTAATTTATAGGTATGGTTGACTCTTTCTATAACCCTTAAATATTAGTTTAGTATAGAAAACATAATTGGTTCGTTATAGTATATTTTAAATAAATATATTTATAAAACAGAAACATATATGTATTAATTCAACTTTAATAATGTGTTTGTATGGTAAACTTTATCTGAAATGTCTTCAATTTAATTTTAACATAGAAACTAAATGTTTAAAATTTGTAAGTGGCAGCTATCTGGCTCTGAATAAAGTTTGAACTCTATAACTGATGAAATCTAGTTAACAATGTTAAAAGGATTACTAAAAATTGTTGCGTATTTTTAAAACCTTTTTGTCATGTTTGTTTAGCATTTTGTTCGAATGTTTTAGTCTATCTATCTTTAATAAAATTCTAAGTGTCTGTCCAGTTTAAACCGGATCTGATTGGTCTGTTTTGATCAAGTGATTCATTCGTGTTGCTGATTATCAACTGGATAGTTAAAAAGATAAACTTATTCGATTACTAAAGTCGTATAATTTAATCTTCCTTCTAACCAATCAAATCGTTTGGCTTTTACTAATAACCACTTTTGAAACAAAAAAGAAAATAAATAAAATTGATACTAAATAATCTACAGATTATCCTCGTTAATATCAACATATTTGAATTGGTTTTAAATTATGTTGATAGTGATATTAATGAGATATATGAGAAAATTTTGATATTTAAAAATTTGTCTCATGGCTTAGGTTGATATTAACGAGGTTGATATTACCGTTTGCCACTGCATACATTATCCGGGGTCTTATCCAAGAATTTCATTTTTTAAATTGAATAGTACCCGTGGATACTGTGTGAGGAACCGGTATTATATTTGGGGATATTTCATATGAACAGTAATAAACCCCGGGTATTATTCAAGAATCAAGCCAAGATGGTAATGAATAATACCCGAGTCTTAATCAAGGGGGTATTATTTTTGGTGAATGGTAATAAGGTTGATATTAATGAGATTAATATTAACAAGATAGATATTAATAAAATTGATATTAACGAGGTTGATATTAATAGAATATTTGTATTTAATTTATATTAAAATTCAGATAGTTTATAACTATTTTTAACTGGTAGTGACATCATCATCTTTAATTTTTATCAAAAATAAAGATTATAATATTTTTTAATATAAGTTAATTAGTAGATTTTGAGATATAGGATTCTGGATGATATTATTTTGGTGATAAATTAGTAATAGTTACTGTATACAGTTATACAAATTTAAAAATATATTGGTTTTTTTTTTAATATTAAGGTGAATCCTTGTTTTGTAATTTTTATTATGATATTACATATATAGTATTATTACATCTATTATATAGTATTACTATTTTATTATAAATATACTGGCTTAGACTATTTTATTTATAGTTTAAACCTATTAAAGTTTTTTTATATCATATATATATACTAAGTAAACCTAGATTGTTTTATAATTAGCTATATTTAATTATATACTGTATATTTTTTTATATTCTACAATTTGTATTAACAATTTTCAAATTAGTATTAGATAATTATTCTTTATTTTTTTTTTTTTAATTTTAAAAGATGAGGTCATGCTTCTAATTTTATTGAAATTCAATCGAGTTCCTTTACAAGAAATATATACAAAAAAGAAATTACATTTGAACCTTATATTCAGAGGATACTAAGACTAGAGACTCAAACACAATGTTACAATATATAATAACATAATTATCTGCAGTCTAAACCTACTAGAGTGGTTATAGCTCACCTAGATTTGGGGATTTATAAGTAAGTTGTGAAAGTCAAATTGGTATTTGATCTATTTTGAATATCATAATTCTAGTTTAGAACTAGTAATTGAATAAAGTGATAGTTTAGGTTGGTATAATAAAGTAAATACAGAAGAAGATTGGTTAACAGAAATATTGGCTTGGAATCTAGAGATACAGTATGGAATTCAAATAGAGTTATAGATTTGTTTGTTAAGATGTAGTAGAACAGTTTTTTAGATAAGGTGAGATCAATAAGAACAGATATAATTTTAATAGGAACAAGACTAGAAATTGTTAATAAAAAAAATAGTATATTTGGTAAGTTGTAGATCTGCATACATTGAAGATTTTGGATTTGTTGATGTATATTAACAATAGACTTAGTTGATGAATCAAGGTTAAATAAGTTTATTGTTGATTGAAGTGAGTTACTGATCAAATTTTGAAGAGGCTGAGATGTTGGACATGTGATCTAGTAAAGTGCAGTACTAGCTTGATTGTATTGGTGACATACTAGTAGGTATGCAGAGTTATGTTTATGTAAAATGTGTGTAGTAGGTAAATTATCAAGTAAGATTTTAATATGAAATGATTTCAAAATAGATGCCTAGAAGCTGTGTGAGTAGTTAGATATCTTTTGGTTATTATTAATGTATAGTCAAGTAGCGTGAATCTAATTAGAGATTTGGGACCATTGCTAGAACCAGTTTTGTGATGACCAAAGAGTATAGATGTGAGTATAACAAATTGTTCGAATAAATCGTCTAATTGGTAACTCTACTGGAAAGTTATTAAAGAAAAGAATATAGTTTGAGTCATATATATTGTAGGGTTTAAATATTAAATAGGGTGTGTTAAAATGATTTCGGGCTAGTTGGTCAGCCTGATTATTAAATTCATCATCTTGATGAGCATCAACCTTGTGAAAGTGAACTTGTAGATTGTGTGAATTAATGAAATTAATTAGAGTATATCATAGTAAATAATATGGTATTCAAATAAAAAATAAGACAAGTGAAGCCTGGTTAATGTTATTATATTTAGAAATTACAGATTGTAAATCTGTGTAAATATGGACTGTGCAATTTCTAGGTGCTGTAATGAGTACAGATATAATAGCAGTAAGCTCAGCCTTAAAAAAATATGGTCAGAGCTTAATTTGTGCCTAAAAAGAATGCACAATATTGGTGTTTTGGATTTGTATCCATCCAATCCCTATAGAGCATTGAGGTGTTTCAAGTTCTATGACTGAACTATCTGTATAGAAGGAAAGCTCAGAATGTTGTGATTATAATTGGCAATTGTCTGAAGAGTGTTAGTTAAAATATTTGCTTCAAAGGTATCTGGTATTTGTATTATAGCAATAGAAATATTAGGAGCAGGTGGGATTTGAAGTAGATACCGACAGGCAATAGAATATATTAAGTCAAGATGATTGGCATTTAAGTTAACAGATTTAGTTGTAGAATTGACTTTACCAAAGAACTTGGCAACAAGATTAATAGGAATAAGAATAGTACATCTATTGACGATAAGATTAGAATTTAAGGGTAGGGTATACGTAAATCATTTTTCATATGATCTACATGATATATTAGATTTTTATATAGTAAATAAAAAAAATGCTTCTAATAAAACTTTTTAATATCTTAACCATTTTGTATAAAATTTATATAATATGTAATTTAAACAGTTTATTTATGATATCAAAGTTGCGCAATATGCATTGCTTTAAAAAAAAAACTAACTTCATATATAACTAAATTTTCCTAGATCGCTATATGTTTTTCCTAGATAGTACAAAGAAATTGCCAATTCTGATTGGTCAAATCATATGATATTTACATATAAATCATATGATATCATATAAAATTTATTACACAAAGTTGATCTACAATCTATTTTATATAAAATTAGAAATTTGTATACCCTATTCTTAAAAAGCAGTCT